TATATATATATATATATATATATATATATATATATCATACATATATACATATATATCCATATATATACATATATCATATGTATATATATATATATTAGATCTTCCTTAAATCTGAAGTCGGCATCTTGCAGAATACATCCCTTTTATTTGTTTTGAAACGCCAGATCTCTCATTTGTCTCATTAGACTGTTTTTACTTTAATTACTTGAATGATGATAAGTGGTTGTTCCACAATTCATCGTTTGCTTACATGCTCTCTAGGTCAGCTGCCCCAGCTGTCACCATGCAGTTCACTAAGCCCCGAAGTCACGTGGGATATAGACCACCGGCCCCAGGGCTACTGGTCACCGGACAACAACTGGACATCACTGGTTTGCAAACGTCAGGATTGGGACCTCGCCTGGACCGTTTCCTGTCTCCAGAACACCACCATCCGCGTCATCGGAGACTCCAACGGCGTCCGCCTCTTTCGCCAGCTCAAATCGGCATCGCAGTGTGTGACGACACAGCGTGGCGGTTGGCCTGATCAGGAAACGTGCACCAACGTCAACAAGGACATCACCGTCGTCTTCACGCCCCACGAGTACCCCCTCTACCTCGCCGTCGGTTGGACGAAGAAACTGCCGTACGGCGGGGTGGCCAAACAAATTGACGCCCTACCGTCCGCGGGAAGGGTGCTCCTCGTTGTGCACTATTACCTCCACGTGGTGGTTTCACATTTAGCAGTGACGCGCGTCCGACTCGCAGCTCTACGTGACGCCATCGACCGTCTGCTCAAAAGGAACCCGTACGCCATGGTGGCATTCAGGGGCCCCCACGTGACCTCTTACGACTGGGACAACAACCACACGCTCGGTGGCGATGTCTTGGGTGGATTTTATCTGAACATGTTGAAAGAAGTTTTTAGTAATCTCAAAGCCAAAGTCGTTTTCCTGGACGGGTGGGAAATGACGTCATCAATAGAAAACGAGCTTTACCATCCTACAGATCATGTACCACGTGAGATGATCCGAACACTGCTTTCATTTAGGTGCAAGGAAAACGGTCATGTTCAACATTTTAAAATTTGAACAAATTAAATCATCAGCTTGTAAACTGTGAATGTTTTATAAATTGTATACATATAAAAGTTTATTGTACCGACTTCTCTCATGTTTTCCATCTTCTGTGATGGCCTGCTCAAATTAATTGTTGAGATTAAGGACTTCATGTATGTCAGCCATCTCCAGAAGTGACTTGATGTCTTTATGTAGTGGCCAGGTAGTGCCTGCTTGGTGTCTTAAATTCGTGGCGAGGTAGTGCCTGCTCGGTGCGTCTTTATTTAGTTGACAGTTAATGAGACCGTTAAACCATCAAAGAGAAGGCTTAACTGATTTGATTTTGGTTTTGTATCTTGTTCCTGCGTTGAGTTTGGTTGTTTTGATTTGTATTCCATCGTTTAGTCTAAAATTAGTCTAGATATTACACTGTTTACTAGTCTAGATATTACACTGTTACTAGTCTAGATATTACACTGTTACTAGTCTAGATATTACACTGTTACTAGTCTAGATATTACACTGTTACTAGTCTAGATATTACACTGTTACTAGTCTAGATATTACACTGTTACTAGTCTAGATATTACACTGTTACTAGTCTAGATATTACACTGTTTACTAGTCTAGATATTACACTGTCTACTAGTCTAGATATTACACTGTCTACTAGTCTAGATATTACACTGTTTACTAGTCTACATATTACACTGTTTACTAGTCTAGATATTACACTGTCTACTAGTCTAGATATTACACTGTTACTAGTCTAGATATTACACTGTCTACTAGTCTAGATATTACACTGTCTACTAGTCTAGATATTACACTGTCTACGTAATATAGTTTAGATAGGTGTACTGAGCAACCAGATTGTCAGAGCGATCCTGTGGTACCTGTGGGTAAACCCCGGTCTATATCATAACATGTACAAACACGCTGAAATTGGAAAGCTTCACGACGCTGTACAAGGTATGTACTATTCAGGCACGTTTTATTCCTGTACATGGATGGGTAAAGAAGACCAGATTAAAGAGACCCTCCTTTATGGACACGGTCCACCGCCATGAGGAAGGTGTGGCCTTACCCGGAAACAGAGAGAAAGTGAAGGTCATCCCGGCAAGGGGACCTCACGAAAGCCTATCCCGACCTGATATACGTCTTACCTTGACCAACACCAAAGCCAACAGAGCCAGCCCTCAAGCAGAACTATCAGAGGCAGCCAGGTGAAAGTCTTCACAGACGGCTCATGCTTCGCGAGGGAAAAACGCAGTGGGTACGGTGCCCTCATCCAGTATCCCGCGGAAATAGCTCCACCCGAGGAGCTATCCGGTCTAAGCGGGGGAAATAGAACAAGCCTAGATGCGGAGATCGAGGCAATACTGGTTGCTCTAAAGAGGATTCCCCAACGCCTGGCAAAACGAAAACGCTTCCCAGACGTCGTGGTTTTCTCCGACTCACGATCAGCTCTAGAACACGTGGGAAGGGGCTCGAAGGAGACCACAATGATAGGCGCCATTCTGGAGACAGTAGGCAGCATCCAGGCAAAAGGCGGCAGAGTAGTTCTGCAGTACATCACTTCGCACGTTGAGGTGACGCAGCCGGACAGGGCGGACTTCCTAGCCAAAGAAGGCGCGTCCCACCCCCAGCCAAATAAACCGATGACCCAGCTGAGGGTCACGTCTTGGCTGAAAGAAAACTTTAGGAACAAGTGGTTCGACAGGTGGGATGCAGGAGAAACCGGACGACAGCTGCATCGAAGAAGACCGTGACCGAGCAAGACCGACCCATGGTGGGGACTAAAGAGAGGAGACCAGAGCCTCATCACCCAGATGAGGACTGGACACTGCGCGACAAGCAGTTACCTCCACCGACTAGATGATCGAAGGGAACCAGACTGCCGATTCTGTGGCGAGGCAGAAGAAACAGTGGCTCACTTGGTCATCACGTGTCCTTGAGGAGGGACGGGGGCAAACGGGCGAGACCCGGAGGCCTGCCTTGAAGATATGATTTACGGGGATGCCCATCAGATGAGGCTCGCCGCCAAGTTAGTAGCCAGGGCTCTAAGAGACTAAGTCTCAGCCCAACAGAGTATTGACATTTATTATTCCTGTACAGCAATTGGTCATACCATGACCAGGAGGTAACTTGCGCCCCGATACGTCACCATGGGTCCTATCTCATGGAGGCCCCGTCTAACCGCTCTCTTTGAGTCCAGATATACTTACAGTACAGAGGGCAACGCTATTTCTCCGGTCATCTCTCCGGTCACATCAGGCCGTGTAGAGTACAGTTTTGTTATGTGTTTGTGATGGGCCATTTCTTTTCATTACTGATTATGTTAAGTATTTTAATTAAATTACGGGTCGAGCGTCACACTGCAACCATTGTGCAATGTTTTGTATAGACTCCGCGTGTGTGTGTGTTTATAACTAACAGCTTTAATTTATATAAGTCTATTTACACAAATGCTGAAATGCACTGTCTCAAGTAGACTGAGCCAGTATAGAACTAACGATGATACTTTATAGTGCTCGAGTTAAACGTCCTGCCATGGGTAAACTCTTAATTATGCTATTTTGTTATCCTAAAAGCTATATCATCGGATGGCCCTGCATACAGGCAAGGACAATCATTGCTTAAATTTTTTAAGACTTCGACTGTGGACAAGGAAGGGGGGCTAATTTAGCGTTTATGGTAGAACATTGAGCTGAAGCCCACGTTACAGAAATTGTACCAAGAGCATCACCTTAAGAGCAAATTTCTTGCATTTCCAATAACGTTTTGGAATTTTGTTTCACTGCTGTTGTCAAAACAAAGAAATTACCAAAAGATTTCTCAAAATTGATCAGCAGCTTCCCACTGCTAAGTGACTTTACTTTAGGCTGGACATTGAAAGTCTGGCAATGCATTGTTTCTTCATGCCCTCCATCACATTCAGAATTGATTAATCAGTGATTAGTGCCTTAATAAAATACAACTCTTACAAACAGTTTAGCATTCGGGTTAATCCAAGTCAAAAGTTTAACTTCGATATTAATTAAATACTACTTTACCACTTCGTATTGTCTTTTTATTCTCCATATAAATATAAGTAGTCGTGAAACGCTTTATTCTAAAACTACAAATGACTCTGTGTAAGGCAGTGGGTGAGCAATGGACTAGTTTATCCAGCCAAGATTGCATCGTGAAACACGTTTTGATGACCACTGTATTAGACAGGTAGGCTACCTCTGAAATGTCGCAGCCATGATTTATTAATATTTACATAGGGTTGATTGGGATTGAATATTAATTTTTTTAAAGTGTGTTTGTGATGTCCTATAAATACCCATCTTTCATCTTCCAGTACAGGCACCAAGTCCTTTTACATCGAAAGATGACCCAGGTGATGATTACTTTATTGGTCTCAATAGTGGTGTACTAGCGTGGTAGTCAGCCTACCGGCCAACAGAATGTGTCATGTGAAAAGCAAGTTTAGAGTTATCTTTAGAAATATTTAACATTTGCAGTTTTTCATTTCTTGGTTTTTCTATTTTTGTGTTGTTATGAATTTTGTGTGCTTCTTATTTTTCTTAATGTTTGTGGAACTGGTGTACAAAAACAAGAGAGCTCAACATATTTCTTCAACTCTTCTATGTTTAATTTTTACAAGAATTTTTTATTGTATAAATCATTGTTCTGACAAACATATCATGTGCAAGCATTTGTCTGTTAGAGGCTAATTACAAGTACATCACAATTTTTTATAACAATAACCAAAATCAATTTCTTGAATACTCCATGAAAGAGATCCACATTGACATTTGACTTGAAATAGATGATCACATGTCATTACATTATATATAACTAGGTCTTGGGCGGCTTGGTAAAGAAATTAGTTCCCATCAACGATGGAGGAAAGTAACACTGATCAATGTTTGCTGCAAAGACAGGTGGATACTTATCTTTTCCAATACCTGGAGAAAAAAATGAAAAATTTAATACAGTTCCCATTACATTAAGACATTATGAGTCTTCAGTACAGTTCCCATTACATTATGACATTGTATGATTGTTCAGTACAGTTCCCATTAAATTTAGACACTGTATGATTGTTCAGTACAGTTCCCATTAATTTAAGACATTGTATGATTGTTCAGTACAGTTCCCATTAAATTTAGACACTGTATGATTGTTCAGTACAGTTCCAATTACATAAAGACACTATGATTGTTCAGTACAGTTCCAATTACATGAAGACACTATGATTGTTCAGTAGAGTTTCCACTACATAAAAATCACTAAATAAGTGTTCAGTAAACTTTTAATAAAGATAAAAGGATTCTGGTATAAATCAACTAGAGGTTTGTTCAACTCACTAAGAGGTTTGTTCAACTCACTAAGAGGTTTGTTCAACTCACTAAGAGGTTTGTTCAACTCACTAAGAGGTTTGTTCAACTCACTAAGAGGTTTGTTCAACTCACTAAGAGATTTGTTCAACTCACTAAGAGGTTTGTTCAACTCACTAAGAGATTTGTTCAACTCACTAAGAGGTTTGTTCAACTCACTAAGAGGTTTGTTCAACTCACTAAGAGGTTTGTTCAACTCACTAAGAGGTTTGTTCAACTCACTAAGAGGTTTGTTCAACTCACTAAGAGGTTTGTTCAACTCACCTAGAGATTTTTTTTGTTCAGCTCACCTAGAGATATATTCAATCACCTAGAGATTTATTTAAATCAACTAGAGATTTGTTCAACTAGCCTGGAGATTTTGTTCAACTAGCCTGGAGATTTTGTTCAACTAGCCTGGAGATTTTGTTCAGCTCGCCTAGAGATTTGTTTAACTCAAATAGAGGTTTTTTCAGCTCCACTAGATTTTTTCAACTCTACTAGAGATTTGTGTTGTTCAGCTCACCTAGACATATGTTTCACTCACCTTGAGATTTGTTCAGCTCAACTAGAGATTAATTCAACTCCCCTAGAGATTTGTTTTGTCCAAATTAAATAGAGATATGTTCAACTCCACTAGAGATTTGTTCAACTCCACTGAGACTTCAACTAACCTAGAGATTTTATCAGCTTATTTGAAGTATTTCGAAGATGAAGAGGAACAGGAGGCAAGGCCCCCTCATGATTTCTAACACATGCCTGGGCTGCTTGAAAAGCTTGCAACACTTCAACAGACTTGGGGGCTCGGGACAGGTAGATGACACAGTGAGCAAGGTTTAACTGTAAAAAAAAAAAAAAATAATTGTAACATACATTTGGAGGTTGTATAGAAAATGTTAACTCAAAATTTTGTCACAGGCATGCATAACTGGCATATCGTAACAGCAATACGTTTTTTGTGGTGGAGATTTCTGTATAAAAAGTTCTTAAAATGGACTGCTCATAATTCTTCCTGTGCCCACACAATAGATCATCCCCAGAGGCACATAACATGACATGTTAAGTTAACTTACAGCACATTCTGGCATCCCTATAACATGACAGGCCTGGTGGGTTGCTACTGCCTGACTCAGTGCCATGGGATCTGCAAGTCCTGCAGATAATCAAGTGCAACAGAAATTAAAACACTTAAAAAGATTTAAATTTAACCCTTTCATCCCCACTTGAGATCCCACCCATGTTTTGAAAACAATTCCTAATGCCCATCTTACTTCCTCTAAAAAATATTTCAGTGTTAGACACCTAACCCCAGATAGTCTGTAGTTAAAATGTGCAAGGAAACTTGATTTGAACACCACTATCCAATTTTTCTAAGTATCCAAATTAAACTAAGTATCCAAATTATACTAAGAATCCAACTTATACTAAGTATCCAAATTATATAAAGTACCCGTATCCAAATTATACTGAGTAGCCACAAATTAAGTTACTGTTACATATGCACATAAAGGTAGTTAAATTCTTAGTTGCTAAGCTATTTTTCACAATAGGAAATGACTGGAATTAGAGCAATTTGTAGATGGAATGATTTGGTGAATGATTCAGAGGATTAAAAATTCATTTTGAATGAGAAAAATATTTAAAAAGTTAGAAACTGATTTTGCTTGTCATATAACTTTGAGTGATAAAAATTTGTGCTTCACAAAAATAAAGAAATAAGGTCTTGCACCATTCCTGGTCCTTAACAGAGATCAGGTTCACGGAAGGTATTGTCTACCAGATAAAGCTATTTATTTTTTAACCAAATATACTTTTTATAAATAATGAAGGAATATTTGAAGTAAATTTTAATTTTTTAAATGTATGATAAAAAAAGTATTTCTTTTTTTTTTTTAAAGAAAGTATTTAGTTTATCTGTTTATGTGACACTTCCTCAGAAGCACAGTGAACTGGGGAATTTTGGACCAGGAGCCAAATGATTTAGGTACTTGTTATCACTTGATATGCAAATAATGGCTTCCCTGGATAAAAACTGTTAATTTCTTTAAAGAATTATACATTTGTATATTTAGTGTAACAAAAAGAAAAGTTCAAGATGTGTAAATCAAGGATCATTGAAACTTTAAAACTTTTCTAGGATATGGATTAGTTGGTTAACAAATGGCCTCAAATACTGAGAGAACCTCAAGGTAGAATTAAAATAGAAGGGAGTCAAATAATAGGAAGTTTCACTTAATTTAAACCCAATAAAGACTCAAAATGATTAGATATGCAGGTTGGATTAAGCTGATTTATCTGCATGGTTAAACTTTGCTCACCGACATCTTCGCTTGCAAATATTACAAGTCTCCTGGCGATAAAGAGAGGATTTTCCCCACCTTCGATCATTCGTGCCATCCAATAGAGGGCTGCACTTGCATCAGAGCCGCGCATGGACTTTATTAATGCAGACACAGTGTTGTAGTGCTCCTCACCTGTCAAGGAATAAGCTGTTGAAAGGGTGCTGAAACTTTTTGTATTTAAAATACATTAAGATCAAACAATTTGGCCATTTTCAACTAAAACTGCCCTCTGGCACAATTGTAATGTTGTCTGCCTTGACGTGAGATGTGGCCGTTTGGTCTAACTTAAACGCCTGGATAATAAAGAATCAATGATCACAGAGAAGCTCAGTCATAAAAAAATCATCTTCAAAAATAACTATTCTGTGACAGGGTTCAAATTTTTGCAGGGTCAACCTTTGATATTTATACTTGTCTGGGTGGAATTGACTTGTCAACCCAGCAAGGAAACAGTCTTGAGAATAAGAGAACCTTGAGTAAGCAATCTCAACCACCAGTGGGATAGCGAGCCTGGTCACTGATCCGTTTCATCTGGTCCAAAATACTGGGCCATCGGGCCGCAAGTCATGATGCTATGCAAAATGCTAGTAATAGTTCTGGAAGAGTTATAGCTGTTGGAAAAATTCTTAAAACGAGAAGGGGAAAAAATTACTAACATAAGAACAGATTTTACCTGTTTTATCATAGAGAATATGTGAGCGTTGCAATGCCTCTTTGATGACATCTACTGTGATCAGGACAGGTGAATTTTGTTCCTTTCTTTTGTCTTTAGCCAGTGTTCCCTCTATGGCAAGCTGAAGCCCATTTAGAGCCACTCTTGCATCCCCATCAACCAAAGCAGCCAATGCATCAATTGCTTCAACATCCATTAAAATCAATGGAACCCTACAAGTTCAATTCATTGTTGTTTAGTTGGCCCTAATATGATTTTTCTTAGTAAATTTTCATTAAGAAGTTTCATTTGATATGTAGTTGAGTGTGACTATGGATTAGATTTATTCAATTAAGAATTCCCAGTAATTATAACCTGCTTTGTTGATTAACACAGAGGTTCCCAAACTGTGTGCTACTGGGCCCTGGTAGCCACAGCTGCACCGCAAAGTGAAAAACAGAGAAAAAAAGTACCTATTGTTAGAATTTGACATAGGGAAAACCTGAATGCTACAAGAGCTCAGTGAGTTGAAGATTTTTGGAAACCTTTAGATTATCAGATTAATCTACACATAACACTCCAGAATGAACTATCTAGGCAGGTTTCTCAACCACACCATGTCACATTGTGGTTTCAACTGTCTAGGCAGTTCTTTCAACTCCACAATATCATGTTGTGTAGTGAGTTAGTCTACTTGTGATACACACATGCTATCTCTGTTTGTAATCTTCCATGGACAACAATTCCCTAACACACAGAATATCTCTGTGTCTAGCATACATTGAAATGTACACAAGATCAAATCATTTTCAATCAATAAATCTTCTAAAATTCTTGTACCATTACTAGAACTATTGTTAAGTCTTTCAAGTATTTTTTTTCATTAAGTCAGGGAGATGTGCTAATAATGTTAATTAATTTTTAAGGTGATTAAAAAAATTTAAACTAAAAATGCAAGTTATGACCTGTTATTGGATGTGGAACCTACATCAGTGTGGTTGAAGCTATCAGAGTTTTCCTTGGAGATGTTAACATGAATTCCAGTCTCTGATAGTGCCCACTTGATTATGGTTTTAATATCATCTATCTGGGGGTAAAACAAGAAAATAGTTTAACCATTTATTCATAATAACAATATCACTATCAGTTTGAAAATTTATTTTCTAGACTACATGGTTCCCACTTTTTTTCAAAACTAAATTCTTTACTTTTTCTCAACTTTTCATGACAATGTAAAAGCGGCTTTATCGACATTATTGTGACTGATATTCAAGCGTTTTCTTTGAAAATTATTCCTTAATCCTGGTACAGGTTTTAAAATATAATGCCATCAATAATAAAATAAATAAACTTTACAAAACAATATAATAATATTTTTACTAACCATTAACTTTCCAATGACTGGATTCAGTAATACAGTAATACATCCATAATATCATTAAAAATATATAGTCATATTACATAATTCAATGCATGTAATAATTATTTAAACATCTATTGATGTGGACATGCCCAAATGAAATACCTATAAGGGAATGAGATTATTTCAAATAATGGAGCCTAAAATGGTATACACTAAAATAAATAGAAAAGATGAAAAATATGTTAATAATTCAAGAGACACTAAAATATTAAGCTCATGTCTACAACTAGACAGGTTATAGTCAATATCTCTGTTGTGAATTTGTTCTGGGTCCAGGCAACTCATGTGTCTAACTAAATTATAATTTAGGGGAGACTTTGCTTAAGTTTTTCAACCAGAATCACAATTATCTCTCTGCACTGTAATTTAAATTAATTAAATTCCAAAACTCCTTTATCGCTAATTAATTTCTTTACTTTTGCTTCCTTGAGAAGCCCCTCTGCAACAAAACCAATCTCAATTTCTGAATAAATGTTTAATACTTTATCTGATTTTCTTTCAACTTTGAGTAATTTTTCTACAGTATTTTCTGCCTCAAGTGTTTTGGGTTTTATTTTTATAAAATGAGACATAAGCCCTCTCAAAAGTTTTTTAAAATCTTTTGCCGTGAATGGGAAAATTGGATTGTCACCTTGATATATAGTTAAGAAAAGCTGTATAGGTCTTGCAAGACTTATTATAAAGGCAAGTCTTATCCTTGATAGAGGGTTATTGATCCAGTCCCTAACTATTTCATAGGACTTGGTCAATGGATTTTTTAGTTCCCGTTTTTCTACTTTTGCAACTTATTGCAACATAACAGGGAAAATATCAAAAGCCCTCTGGTGTGATGCTGCATTCTCAACCCAACGATGGGAACAGAAGTTCAGGGAATACATAGACTGTCCTGTTAACTTTTTCGTAATCTTCCCTGCGAGCTGGAGTGTCCTTAAAAAGAGTGTGCAGTGCTGACAAGATCTGGGATGCTCCACAATGAGTAGAATCAATAGCTGCCTTAAAACTATTTGGTAGTGTATGAAGTCCACAAGATCCAATGTCAATTAGATGATTCTGGAAATTCATACTTATTTTTTATTGCATTTTTTAAATATGGCCTACTTAACATTGTGTCCATTCATCCACAATTGAACAATATGATTGAGTCCAATGATGTTGACTACTTTCTCTTCAAATGACTCCAACACATCAGAGGCACAAGAGTGGCCAATGAAATTCGAAGAGTAGACGCGAGTCTTGACTTTACCATAGTCCCACTTTCCTAATATGAATGTCAACCTGTTTTCTTTTAAAGATCTTTGTTTAATGACTCATCAATCAGGAGGACATATGGACAATCCTTCGTATTTCTTTCCAGCAAGGAAGAAAAATGTGAGGCAATACCAAAATCTGCCATGTACATATGTTTGGTTTCCCCTAAGCTCATTGATTTTGCTATATCACAATTTGGAAACATCCTTTCAAATAGTAGCACAAATAGTAGCTATATCACAATTTGGAAACATCCTTTCAAATAGTAGCACAATGTCCGCTTGAGAAGAAAATGAATAGTTTGACCTAACACATTTTAGCTTGAGAAGAAAATGAATAGTTTGACCTAACACATTTTAGATTGAGAAGAAAATGAATAGTTTGACCTAGCACATTTTAGCTAGAGAAGAAAATGAATAGTTTGACCTAACACATTTTAATGCCAATCAATTTTCTGCATTTAGCGAATCATTTTTGGAAAAAAATTGGTCAAGGTTGACTCCAACTTTGAAGTAGAAACTGGATCAAAGTGTGTAGCTGAATGATAATTTAATCAAGTTGCTTCTCTAAATCTTTTAAATTTTGGACCTAGAAAAAGGAAATATTTTAACAAATTTATATTTCAGAATCAGAAACGGGCTCAAATTTTGAAATGGTAAAATTTGTTGCCTGACTACATTTTTTTTTTTCAGCTCTACAAGATATGTGAAACTTGGAGGGAAATTCTTGCTTTAAAAAATGTCAAAAAAAGATAAATAACTCTCTTAACTCTCTGACTCATGTCAAGAACATTAAAAGTTTTGTTGTTTTTATATCTAATATTTGAATTTCTCTTCAGAAACCAAATTGGCTCAAGTACTTAAGGTTAATCAGTTATAGTAAAAATGCTTCTTAAAGCAAGTTTTTGGTGTTTTTCCATTGATTAAAAAAAAAATTAGGTTACGACTCATGTATTTGGGTTTATCAGTTATAGAAAAAAAAACTGAACAGAATATAATGATGGTTAAAACATAAAAACTATAATCTTACTGCAAGTTTTTCCAGTTTAATGACCCGACATCTGCTGAGCAAGGCAGCATTGACTTGAAATGAAGGATTCTCTGTGGTTGCACCAATCAAAATAATAGTGCCCTCTTCAATGTGTGGTAGGAGGGCATCCTAGGATGAAAAACATAAGCTCCTAATTTAAGAAGCTATTAAATAAAATTAATATAATTTCTTAAAACTATTTCTGTTAGAATATGAATAAAACGCATGTTAAAACATTTTTGATGTGCTTTTATTGATGCTGTACCAGTATTCTATTTATCTGATTTAGCTCTTCTCTCACAGAGCAATTTAATTTACACTAACATTTAAAGGGGCACTGGAAAATTAATTTTTGTTTAAAGACCACACAAACTAAAATATAACAGAAAATTTTAATGCACTACAAGGAAAACATTGATAACCAACTTTCTTTTCATTATTGCTTTTATAGAATTTTTTTTATTTTTAAATTTAGAGCTTTATTTGCTGATATTTAAATTGTTTTAAATAACTGTGTATAGCCACTTTATTAGTGAGGACTGGAACAATTGGCCTGGCTGATTTTTTCCCGACAACCAAAAATTTTTTTGGGGAGGGTATGGGGTCCTTTACTGCCTTTACTCAAAACTGGTTATTTTGAATGACTTTTATGCACAAGGTATTACAGGTATTAAAAACACAAGGTATGTAAAAGCATGAAAAAATACACAAAGTATCTGTAAAAAAGCCTGTCTCCCTGACGTAGAATTTCCCTATTATTTCCTTTCTTTTCTTTCACTTGCTGTATGGAGTATTGGCAAAGGGGGAAAGACTTATTGAATGGCCATGGCTGCGCTTTAAGGACATACGGAAAAGAAAATGAGGGAAGCCACGACCAAAACTGATGAATGGGAGACCATCACTTATCACCATTCCAACTAGTGAACAGCAGTGTATGTGGGATTCAAATAAGGCTGTAGATGAATGAAACGTAGTCAGTGGTGCCACTGACTTCCTCTGGTAAGTTAGCAGGGTTAGAATAGTGTGATGGCCTTTGACACTTACCTGTTGTAACTTATTGAATCTGTGAATTTCATCCAAAAATAAAACTGTTTTTCTCCTCAACATTTTCAAGTCATTGCGGGCTACTTTTGCAGTTTCTTTGACGTCATTAACACTTGCAGAAGTGGCTGACATGGACACATATTTTATATTGCCATTGGATTTACATTTCTGTGCAACAATATTAGCCAGAGTTGTCTTTGAAAAAAAAGATTAGAACATTGCATTAATAGTTTAAAATTGCTATGTTTTTGATTAAATGAAATTAAATTGAGAATATAATGGAAAACAGATTAACTCATACAAATATCTTTTAAATTCAAACATTATTTGTGAGTTTTGAGTTTTACAAATACTCTATCATAAAATACATAATAATTGTGTAAATACAAATATTTCTAATTGACCTACTTTCCCGCAGCCTGGAGGTCCCCAAAGAATCATAGATGGAATACTGTCTCCATGAGCAAGTAGATTTTGAATTAAACTTTTTGCCCCAACAGCTTGCTCTTGTCCTATAAACCTGTCAAAGTCTTGAGGGCGCATTCTCTCAGCCAAAGGAACATTAGTGAGTTCCTTAACTTTTGTCTTTTGCCCAAAGGTAGATTTGAATTTGTTCTGCTTATGATTTTTTTCTTCAGGCTCCTGGTCAACATCAATCTGCATTTCAACAAAATTAAATTAAATCCTTGTTTAAATTTTAAAAATGTTATTTGACTTTAAGTTTATGGCTCTGTGTAGTGACTTAAAGTTTTCATACCCCTGGTCACTTGCCATCCGTTGATCCAAATCTAATTGCCATATGCCCTGCTCTGACTCTTTCTAAACTACCCTTTCCCAAAATCCTACATTTTATTAGGAAAGCTGGTTTATTGGAATCAAAGGGGGTGGGGTGTTTTTTTTTAATCATCTTTTCTGCGTTCTCATCACTTCCCATGCAAACCCCTTTCTCATCCTTGACCCAGCAAATTCAGAGTTCTGACCTGAGCAACCCTAACCACCCGTCTACCACCATTCCCTGAACGAGACAGAGGAAACGAACCGTAACGAGTGTCATGTGTTGACAAAAAAAATAATGCTAAAAAAACATAACGCATCTGTCAGTAGGAAGGTTGAGTTTAATGGTACCGGGGAGCGAATGGCGGCGCTGCGTGTCTGGCTCCTTTTTTACTCGGTGCTATTCAAATGTCATTTGTGGTAGTTTATTTTAAAATTTTAGATTTTAGTTCATTGTCAATTGAAGAATTAAGTTTATAAACATAGTCCATTCAATTATCTTTCATTTGAAACCTAATTTTGTCTAACAAACCCAACATTAAAATTGTAAATAGTTTTTTTTATCCCCAAACTCTCCCTTACTTCTGGCACTCGGGTACGAATAGCCACTTGGATAAAATATAATATTTTGATATACTATTACTTATACTTATAGGCTTATACTTATAGGCCTTAAAGGCTATTTATTATAATCATAAGTAAGTCATAATATAGATAAGTCTACTAAAGTTTTATTGCAATACATCCAGCATACTTAACAATATAAGGATTGAAGTCATATATAATTACTTTAATTTCAGCCGACATCTCTGTTGTTCGGCTGGAAATAAGGTTTTCCACTACAATCGTATCTGTATCTGCATTTTGTTGTTGACTCGCTACTGGTACTGGGACAGCTACTTTTTGTTGCCCACCAATTTTTTTGGCTTTTGATGTAAGAAAATCCCAATCAGAAATTTTTCTTTTCTTGTTTTCTATAATATCCTCTTTCACTTGAATTTTCTTCCCCACTGCCAGTAGTTCTTTGTTATTGAGGCACACGTTAACGTGCTCTGTAACCACTTTGGAAGAAAAGTGACAACAACAAACTGGACACTGAACTTTGTCTGACATTGTTTCTACACTATAATGCAGTCTACATTATTTAACTTCGTAAACTTTGGTATTTTTTTTAAAGATTATTACTCAAATGGTAAATGCTAATATAAATACTAAGATCTAGTGAAATCAATCACAACCAAACCCATGCCCACAACAGCTCGTCTGCTACACAGCTCGGCATAATAAAAACCAATATTCCCGCAGATTATGCTAAGTGCCAGATTGTCATGGCATATTTGGAAATATATTATTATTGTGAATGGCAGCTCAAGATATATATATTTTCCTTCCTTTCTCTCCCCTTCTCCCACAATATATAGATCTATTATATATATATATATATATACCACAGCCATCTTAATAAAAAATAAAGCACACTACTAATACTCAGTATTAATCAAGAAGAACCATTATCTTGCCATTTTTATAAAGACATTGACATTGATTTTCCCAAAATTTACCAAATATTTCCCTCCCCATTGTCATTTTTCTTGATTTTACAAACTGTATAGAACTAAAAGACGATTTTACAATCCTATCAATGAACTTTACTGTCAAAGACGAGGCGGGATTTAACAAGATGGCAATTTTTCTTTTGCATAGGAGTGCAATTAGGTTTTTTCTACAATTCTAGCGCCAATCCCCATGAAATATTTTAATTTAAATTTCTCACGTCCAACAGCTTTGCGCTGTTTGCCCACAATTCAGGGGCTTATGCAGCAGGAGGAGTATGAACTGAATAGCATTGTGATTAGCTTGCTTCTCTACTTATGTCAGTTCAAAAATTATTAGGTAAAAACTAATTAGCTGTCAAAATAAAAAAAGAAAACACATAAGGAACTATTGTGTGATGTTTATTGTACATAGTAGCATGGACAGTTTTAACAACAAGCTGCAATTTTGATCAATGATTCTGAAAAGTGTAAAGGAAATCCTCTTATTTTTAAACTTAGAGGGTACATCTCTAAAATGATATTCAATCATACATAGTCTAATTATTCCCACAAAGTTATAACTTCTTGGGGAATAAAAATTACTGCTGGTAAATACTAGCATTGGTTACATGTGTGCATTGAAGGTTGTCTGAAAGAAAGTGTTCAAGGCTATTGATGGACTGAACACATTTTGTTATTGTATAGCCTGCATTTCTTTGACAGGACTAATAAAGCAATGACTTTCAATAGCTTGTTAAGTGACAAAAGAGTGGGTTAGCATTTAAATACTAAAAGTATGAACTGTAAAAATAATGGAAAATAATGTATCACTATTACCAAAATATAACTTATTTAATTGGTAACCAAGTTTTAAATGTCAAATTATAATTTGGCAATAGCAACAAAAAAAAAAATTATGAGATAAACGTAGATTGAAAAAAAAAACTGCTCCTATCAACCTGGAATTGAAACCTAATCTCAATCACATTGTAGGATTTAATCAGAAATTAATAAAAAGTAGTATAATGTGATGGACAGAGGGAAACCACTACCTAATTCAAAAATATTTCTCTAGCAGATAGCCTGATTAGGTTAATTAAAAGCACTACATTTTAATCTTACCTGTTTTTTCTAGATACAAAATATCTCGTGAACAGAAAAAAAATCTTAATTTTTTTTAATCTTTAGAATACACAAGACAGTAATTTTAGTTCTTGCATGACACATGTGAGAATCCTAAACATTAACTTTCTGCCAACCCTATGTAAATAAATGTGTTTTTATAAATAAAAGTACATAAGTACATAATTTATCTGTATGTTGTATATGTACGCACCCCCCTCCCCACAACCACACACTTTTTTTAAATAACAGTTTTATACATGGCCATTAAGATCAAGTCACACCATTTGTCTGTTTGATCAGGTCACACAGAACTGGAATGCAAAGATTTTAGGCTGTTTGAAACTGTAACAAACATTTTTTAAATATAAATTTGTAAAGTGTACACATGATTGGAATTACTTTAAGGTACATGTATTGGCTAAGATAGGATAAATGCTGGATGGTCTCGCTGTGATATAAAAAGGTTAAGTGTATTTATATATAACTGTTCCTCCAGACATGACATTATGTACAGAAGAAATGAGGAAATTTCTCTACATTTGTATCAATCAGTCGCATTTCTTATTTAAAACAGCACACAACTAGAGAAAAAAAAAGCATACTAAAGATAAGGGGTAATCCATACATTACGTACGCATTTAGGGGAGAATGTACATACATTTATGCACATGTTCTGCAATAATTATCCGGAAAGTGTAATATTAAACCTAATGACAAATATAATCTACTGCATGCCATGTTGTATGTTTCCATGCGTTTGGCGTAATTTGTGACATAATTGCAGTATTGTTCTGAGTATATGCCGCTCCTGATAATAAGCCCAACATTACTTACTGTTGTTCACATATACCCGTATTTAATTTTATTTTCATTTTGCAACATCAAGATTGTAAGCCATACCCTTGGTTTAAATATTTATACTTAATTTAGGGGAAAAATGTGCAGCATATACTTGGAACAATACCTTATTATGTTCAGCTGAACGAAACAGTTGCAAATGTGAAAAGAGGGGAGAAAAACTAGGACACTATTTTTAACACGTTTTAAGACATGTTTCCCTCCCAAACATTTTTGCCCCACCTGAGCACCTAAATATCATTGACCCTCAGGTTACTTCTAGAAAGTGTCATATTTTAAATTGCAGCCACCCACCCCTTCCGATCCCTTTGAAACTTAACTATGTTTCCTAACTCAGAGACTAAATGTCACCCCAAAATGCCTCCCTGTGTTGCACACACCACACGTTGGGAAAAAAAGATTTATAGTGGAACTGTTTCATTGTCTTGTAAATTATAAATGTCAATAAATAAATTGTTTAATACATTTATTAACTTGACTGGCGGTTAAAGCTATTTTGTCGTAGGTATAGGGTGGGGTGTGTCCAAAAATGGAGGGTTGCAACAGGGGGAGTGGGATAGGACTTTTTCTTCTTTTTTTCTTTTTGCGTACGTAAAAATGGATGGCTCCTAACAGAAGAATGAACTGAAAAATCTCAGGTATTTCAAACCAATTAAAAATTATAATTATTGGTAGTTTAAAACCATGAATTAATTTAATAATTATTTTAATACATACTCCAATAGTGAAATGTGAAATGGAAGTATATGAATAATGTAAGCTGGCCATTAAAGGTGTTCAAAAAATGCAAGCTGACAGAGTTCAACAAAACTGAAATTTAGTACACTAACCTGTACAACTTATGCAAGAAAGAAACTCAAGTTGTTCCTCTATTTATTTTAACCAATGTTTTTTACAACAACTTCATTAGTCAAGGGAAAAAAATTGTAATTTTTTTTACTAAATGAGGCTTGAGGAGGGTACAGTTCCCAGGTTTAAGCAGTTTTATAAAATGTGTGCTCATGTCATATATATTATATTATTTATATATAATGATCAACTCATGGTTTGGTCTTACTCTTGTAAACTTGTATAATTAATTTCAATAAATTAGTCTATTAACTCTTGATAAGAAATAACTTTAGTTTGTATAAAAACAAAAACAATTTTTTTTCTAAAGGTTTCAAGAGTGAATAATATCTGAGATTTTACAGATAACAGAAAAATTAATGTCATTTAATGTATACATGCATTGCAATATAATCTGTATAAAAATATAATCAAAGAAGTTGTACAACAGATTTGGTATGTCAATGATACATTTCAGCTCTAAGATCAACAGTGAGTATATTTCCTGTCACCCTTGTTGCTCATCTACAAACAATCTCTCCAGAAGTGGGACATAATTTGAAACAAATATCTGATATGCAATCTTTTAAGAAACAATATATTGATGTAGAAATAAACATCTAAAAAATATATCTTTTAAGACTGACCATCTAAAGATGCTCTTCAGTTTAAAAAACATTTTTTAAGAAAAATTAAGAATATGGTATAACTATAGAAAAATTTATGAATGATAACTTTAGGGTGGCAAACACAAATTAAATATAATCAGAGAACCAGTGAAAACTTTCGGCCATAAGTTTGAATAGTTGCAAAGGTCTATTTCAAAAACTTTTCAAGCATTTTTTTTAAAACTAAAATCACAGATCTCCTAAACTGTTCTGCAAAACTTAATTCAAAAGTTAATTCTAATACCAAAACTTTTCATAAAACATTTTTGTGAAAACCCCCATTACCTGACAGTTCTAAAACATCAGATATATGCAGTTATTTAAAGCAAATGGGTTCCAAGTTAAGCTCATGACAGTAAATCCTACAAATTTCAAGAGAATAAAGTTTTATCAAAGCAAGAAAAAATTCTGATACGTTTTTTTAAAGATACTTTTAGAATCTAGTAATTGAAATAGTTTATAATTGGAAAGCTGTATCAAAAATGGTAGGAAAACTTTGACCTACTACAAATTACCTAATACCAGTATTTTCATTAATTTTTAAGTAAACAACAGTAACGGTGATGAATCAAAGTGCTGGAGAGCATACAATTTTAAGTTCTGGATAGACTGCTTATAAAACAGGTCTAATAGGTTTAAATACCCCCCCCCCAATATATTCTGTCAATAATAACATGTTTCTTGACCAAAAGAATGCACTAATAACATAAGGGTTTAGTATAGCACTTGCTAATTAAAGGAATGGTAATAAGGGGGGAGAGATTGCAAAAACAAACAGTAAAAAAAAAAAATAATTCTGGATAGACTGCTTATAAAACAAGTCTAAAAGGTTTAAATACCCCCCCCCCAATATATTCTGTAAATAATAACATGTTTCTTGACCAAAAAAATGCACTAATAACATAAGGGTTTAGTATAGCACTTGCTAATTAAAGGAATGGTAATAAGGGGGGAGAGATTGCAAAAACAAACAGTAAAAAAAAAAAAAAATAAGTGACCCCTTCGACAAGGTGAACGTCCTCTCAGATACTACATTGCAGCTATCGGTCAGTGTTAATTTTTATTTGATATTGTTTTTACTGTTGTTTTCTCGCTGACGAAGGACACGTTTGTTTGTAGCATCCTTGTTTTCTTCAGGTTTTCCCCATACTTTTTTTCGCCTATTTCCTTTTAATTAAAATGAAGTCTTATTTTTCAGTGTATCTAATGTCAGTTCTTCTCAGTAAGGGCCTGGCCGATCTGTTTAAATATTTTATTCATGTTTATAGCTAATTACAATAATAGTAACATGTGCCCATGCAGTCTTGATGCCATGAAATCTAGTGAAACTGTTATGGTAACGGAATAATATAGCAGAAAATAAATAGGGTTTAAAACTAAAGCAAAAAATTCATGTTAATTTTTCTGCAAAAAGCACAGCAAAAAATTGACTTTTAATTTTAAAAACCAGAGAACTCCAATTCAAACAAAGTACATATACACCCCAGCCTTTCACTTGAACATGAAAAACCTTTTCTAACACAAATTAAATAATATTAAATAGACCTCCACAAGGCACTTCTGTCTCATTTCTTTTCACAAAAAATTAATGGATCACACTTACAAAGATTTCAGAGAAATGGAGACAAAAACACAAATGTCAAGAAATTTATCAAGAAATGTACATGTAACAAATAAAGAATAAAGTGTGTTAGATGGCATAAGAATTTTTTTTTAAAAAAGGAACAGTATAGATAAGACATTAGTTTAAAATTTTAGATTTAGTTTGAAATATTTAACCAAAGAAGCTGATTAAACATGAGTAATTAGAATTCAATTCTGATTCCTCTAAAGCACATACTTTAATGTATTCCATTAGAAAAGACTTTTGGACTTGAGGTGAAACATATTTAAAAGTATACAAAAACAGTCAAATTCTATATAAATGCATAACTATAATAAACAATTATAATAAATAGAAGCTTTGAAGTTTATAATGCATAGTTAATCAGCTTTTTTTAAAACAGGCTTGTTAGTGAATGAATTTATACACAGCATCTTATATAAATGATTTTGTCTAAATAAAATTTAAGAAAAGATACACTAAATAAATATAGATCATTTGCAAAGCTAGCAAAATTGTTTTCTTCTATACAAGCTGAGCACACTCTTCATGTAAAACAATCTACTCACCAGGAATACATTGTCATTAAATATAATACTTAAGTAAACTAACATGATCTATAAGTGGGTAAATATACTATTAGTTAAATAGTCCTTTGAAGTTTATATCAGAGCCAGGCGATATTTTCATGAAGGAACAGTAGACTCTATTCAGCTGCTTTGTACTAATATAATTATTTCAATGCTTTTTGTAAAAAAAAAAAGAACTTCAGTAAAAATTTGTTAAAATTATACATGTTGATCAAATGTCTTATGTATTATATATATTATTTTTTTTATATATGTATTTTAAAAAAGTATCGTCAACTCAGATAAAATTATTTATTAGGTTGGTCCACTGGGCTTCTAGTGGACCAAATGTTTAAGTGAGAGCATGTTTTAAATATTAACAATGAATCAAAGTCAAGAAATTGTCAACAACACTGTATAACCGAGTCTGTCGGTTGAGCTGTGGGCATACCTTTCAAGTCTTGAACAAGTCTTGCTGCCATTAAATTACTAGGTATCAATCCTATCTACCAGTCCAGCAGACATCTTGTCCCTAATTTATAAATCTATAAAGTTTAACAAAATCAATGTTTTTCTCCCAAACTGTGCTATGTTGTCTCCCAATTGTTGTAGAAATAATAGTGTAGGTGGCCAGATTTTTTTAGAGAGACATAAATATATAAACATGTACTCATCTGAAATTTTAATCATGGCCATTTTAAACTACTCCCATGGGCAGCTTGTGTATGACCATAAATAATATATGACATTTATTCAATGACATCTCAATTAAAATAGAGCTTGATGTCATCAATTATAAATACACAAAATAACATTGTCCGAAGTTGCTGTATACTCAAAAAGGTATAAAAGGTACATGCTCATAAAATGTGTAAACATTTTGGGAATGCTAACGTGTTGAGTTGTTTCTGCCATGAAAAAAATACTCACAGTACAAATGCATATGAATTTCTACTGTTCCTCTTTAGTATCCACACATCCATTCAAACAATCTTCATATAGTCCAAACATTGCATGAGTATTCTCCCCCTATACAGTAACGTGATTTATAACAACTGTAAATATTACATAAAATTTACTGTGAAACTTAGAATAACCTCCTTCACAAGGTTAAGAAAATCACAACCATGTGTTCCCTGCACATATCAAGAGAGGTAACCCTCCAATCCAATAATGTTTTCCTGTTAGAGTGTGACAGTTGGATCATCATTCTCTTTCTCCCCCTTGTTCATCTTCATCTTCTTCATCATCATCATCACTGTCCTCTTCTTGTACCCCTTTGCTTTTACCCCCTAATCCTTTCAAACCGTTGCCACTCTTATTGCTGATATTCTCCAAACTTTTGCCACTGCCTCTGCCCTCGTTGGTCAGTTCAACTTTCTCACTACTGGGCGGCTCTGTGGTCACAGGAGACAAATGGTCATGAATTTCATCCTCATCATCCATCTCCGCCATGGGTTCACTGTCGTATGACTTGGCAGAGTGATAAGACACGTTGGAAGCCTGTGATTGGTGAGAGACCTGAGAGGTCGATGAAATATTGCTGTGACGTCCCACCGCCCCACGTTGGGGTGCAAGGGTCATGCGCTGGTTGACGGGCTTGACAGTTATGATGAGATTGGAACTGTTGGCCACCATCATGTCAGTCACCTGATTTAAAAGAGGATAAACTTTAATTGCATGAAGAATTTTCAGCTAAAGATGGGACACGAGGTGATGTGGCCCCAAACAAATGATCTGTTGCTGGCAAGACCATTTGCTACTTTCATTCACAAGTATTCTTTTAAAGTATACAAATCTAACATGTACTTTTTAACCCTACTTGGCCAAAAATATAAAAATAATATTTTTTCCAAGATGAAACCCACAACCAAAAATCAGGGTGAAATGGAGTCATCCCAGCAAGGTGAGTATTTTTGACATGAGTGTCAAATCTGAATTTTAAAAAAAAAATTAGTCACAAAACCAGGGTGAAAGCAGCAACTTGGTTTCGGATTTAAAGTCAGTTCTCTGTGCTATCCAGGCAAACAGTAAATAATATGAGGGAGAAGGAGAGAAAAAAATCTCTCCAGGATGAGCTGAACAGAGAGAAATTTCGCTCAAGAAGCTGCAGACTATGATGTGCAGTGTAATAAAAGAAGTAGAGTAGATTAACTTAAAAAATAAAAAAATTTGATCAACTTACCTGATCAAGCTTTTTACCAGCAACCTCAATGCCATTTACTTCTAAAACTTCATCATTGACAGCTAGCAGTCCTGTACTTTCTGCTAATCCCCCAGGAACAAGCCGAGAAATAAAAATGGCAGGAACCTGAAATAGTATTACCGTTTTTAATCAAAATTGTTCATAGCTTGAAAAAGAATGTTCAGAATGCAGGATCTTCACAATAAAAGCAGTATAGTATCAATTTAACCCATACAATCAAAACATTGATTAGCACATGAATGGTTGTACATAGTCTCCGTCATTTAAAAAAGTTAATCTTGTATCAACCTTGCTTTCAGATGTTATTTTAACAGCCAAGAGACCATGAAATAACAAGACTGCTTTCTAATCACTGCTTTCAATTTATGTTTGCAAATAACTGGTTAGTTTCAAACTCTTTTTCTGGAATACTAAACAGAAGTGTTTTATTTCTGAAGAGCTATGCTTCAACTTATCAATAACTAGCCAAATAACATGCTTTGTGTGGGTTTTTATTTTGAAAACAACTTCAAAAGCTTTATCAGCATACGCCTAAATCAAAAACACTTCAACAATGGAGCACAGCCAAGAACCATGATTTAAAAACAAATCTAAATTTTAAAAGATTTCTTATTAAAACAAAGGTATTCACCAATTAAATGTCAAATCTATGGTGGTTTATCAATTAATTTATTAATTTAAAATAGGATTTCCATTCCTAAAAATGGGGTCATTTTAGCTATTCCTAAGAAAGAGGCACTACAAAAATCATTCAGATAAATATTCAGGTTCAATTATCAAATTCACCCCATAACAATCTCAAGGAATTCGTATAATCTTAAACCCTTTTTAATTTTTAAAATCAGATGTTTTAGAATAATGTTAAAGCTTAAAAAAAGATATTTAAAAATAATTTGCCAAAAATAACTCTTATGTAAGCAGTATTTCAATACTAAAACTACTAAAAAAAAATGCCCTAACTCAACACACTTTCCATTAAAGTTAAAATATGGGCCCCGGTGGGGACCCATTCTAAAAGGTGAAATTTTAATTATCACTAAGATAAATTCATCAAATAAATAGAAATTAAAAAAATTTTAAGTTGTCCCACTAAAATTGCTTTAAAAGTAAGAAATATAGTGTATTTCACAAATTAAATTAGTGTCCCTGATCCCAACAGAGTTAAAAAACATTCAGTTTTTATAAATATATAATTTCAAGTCATTTGCACCATGGTTGGTCTAGATCTGATCTATCCATTAATTGAAATTTTATTTATATAGCTCATATTAAACAAACAAATTTGGGCCCTCAATACTAAAAGGGACTTTATTTTTTTAAATTCAACCCAGCCAATATTTTTTTCTCCATAATGAAGTGAAACAATAATGAATCCCAAGTTTGATCAAGATCCATTAATCCATGTATGCTGTTCAAATAGAGATATTTTCTAATGTGTTTAGCAAATACATGTTGTACCAGAAACATACATGAATGAACATTTGAAATCTTATCGAGCGATTTATTATTATTATTCAAGATAAAAAAAACTAATGAAAAATCAACATTTCAGTTTCTCGGACTGCTTTTTAACTGTAGCACTCTTGCATCATATACTGATACCAGTACAAAAACTAGACAAAAACTTATTGTGTGTGGCATTTAGGAAGCATTTATGATGAATGTAAATCATGTAAAAAAATTTATTAAGTATGAAAATCTACTATGGACTGAAATTGCTATGTGTGTAAAAAAATGTTGCCTTTGAGACATTGATCTACTCATAGCATGCACCCACCCATTCGGTGACATAGTTTTACTAAATGCTGATTTGGCACTAAATCACAAACTTGGGATTCTCCCTTCTTCACACACATCTATTAGATAAAGTTTGAAATAAAATTAATAAGAACCAGTAAGTCCCTGATATGGCTAAGAGAATTCACAACATGGCTCTTTTTTTCACAAGTGAAATAATTTAATTTAGCTGTCTTGTGTTCAAATTGTTTTATTTATGTGCTGAAAATGTAAAATGAAATCAAAAAACATTTCCATTTGTTTGGATCAATAAAAGAATCTAATCTATCTTATATAAGAACCACTAATGACTGTACACGTCCCTGAACTATGTGATATTTCTAATATAATGTTCAACCCCACTTATATCATGTAATGAACTGTACTTTCTTAAATTGGTACAATATGTATTTCTGCATATTTAATGAATATGATGGCATTAAACAGCTAATATTTCTTTGAAAACTTATTTTTGAAAAGGGGGGGGGGGGGGGGGGCGCACGACTGGTTTAAGAACTAGATACTAATGCACAAGTCCCACAAGCCTTTCTTGGTAAATAAATAAATATAAAGCTACCTCCATTGTCTTTGAAGAGTCCATAGAACACCACAGAACATGAGAAAAACATTACTGGAAATGTTTATATGCAGAACAAAATATTCATTTTATGGACACAGGCTGCTAAGAGTGCAGTTTTCCAGCATCTCCCTAGTGGCCTTTTTGCAACAGCTCTTTGGACAACTGAAGGTTAGCATTGCAATTGATTTTTGCTACAAGAAAGTTAGAAAGATTATCAACTTTCATGCGCTTGTTTCATTGTAATATTTCTTCACAATCTTCTAGCAATCTTTCTTTGACTCTGGCATTAAAACTATCGGATTTGGCTAGAGAAATATTTCCTTCAATAAGAAAGGTGGTAAATAAAACTTCCGATCTGATAACTGAATCGTCCAATTCCTTAGCAAAGAAATTAGACATGGATGTTGTAGACAAATGCACAATTTTGTACAGGACCTCTGCTCCCAGGCGACCGCCAAGCTCAACCTGGTGAAAAAATTGGCTTGCACAAGTTGGGGCGCGAACGCAAGTACGCTTAGAGCTCTCTTTCTAAGCAGTGTAAGGTCGGTGATGGACTACAGCATGCCGGTCCAATCCTTTGCAAGTAAGACCGCATTGGAAAAACTGGGCCGAATCCAGAATCAGGCACTGAGATTCATCTGTGGCGCATACAGGACTACTCCCACAGCTGCTGTAGAAGTCTTGGCCAATGTAGAACCGCTACAAATTAGGAGGGAAAAATCCATCTTAAATACCGTAGAGAGGTACCGACGGCTCGGTGAAAATGAACCAGCCTTTCAAATGCAAAATAACTGGGTGGGTGGCAGGAGACTAAAGAGGTCCTCTTTCATGCACCAGGTCGTGGAGCTGGAGAGGACAGTTCCCCTGCCCCCAAATAGAGAACGTCTGACCCAAATCCCAGTTAATCCGCCTTATGCGGAACCCTCACGCCCCTCCATACATTTGGCCTTGACAGATGCAGCAGTGACGAAACGAAGCCCTGAACATGTACAGAGAGTGGCTGCCCTTGAGACCATGGATGTGTTCACGCACATACCTGTGAAAGTGTTCACGGACGGCTCTGCTGACTTTAGGAAAAAAACTGCTGGGTACGGTGCGCTTATTCAGTACCCAGTAGGTGGACCGCCCGATGAAAAACTCTCCGGGCCTTGTGGGACTACAGCGTCAAACTTCGACGCGGAGCTTATAGCTATGCACAAGGCCTTGGAGAGAGTCCGTGTCACTCTGGAAGGGACGGAGCATGCGGGGCTCGATATTGTCGTCTTCTCAGACTCAAGATCCGCTCTTGAGATCTTGGAGAAGAGACAGGGTACCACAAGCTTGGTCGACGTCATTCACAACGACATATGCAGACTTGATGAAATAGGGTGCAAGGTTGAAATGCAATGGATACCAGGGCATGTCAACATCAGTGGCAATGAGATAGCTGACACTCTGGCGAAAACCGGGGCTGCCCAGCCTCAGCCAGAAGTACCAATGACTTTCTTGGGAGTCAAAAACTGGCTGGCGGACCACTTCAGGCAGAAGTGGTACAGGCAATGGGCTGACAACACGACCGCCAGAGGCGTCTATTCGAACTTGCCTACTCCTAGCAAACAAGACCCATGGTGGGGGTTAGGTCGTAGAGTGCAGAGTCTAGTAACGCAGATGCGCACCGAGCACTGCCCCCTGCGCACATATTTCTGGAGGTTGGACAACAACAGAGATCCTACCTGCCGGCACTGCAGCCTGGCCCCAGAGACCTTAGAACATCTGTTGACGGAGTGTCCCGCACTAGATCTCCCGGGGGAAGCCAGGGCGGTTGGAGGATCCTTTGTGAGGGACATGTTGTATGGCTCAGCTCAACAGATGGAGTTGATAGCCAATTTACTAGCCGGGGTCATAAGAGAGTAATCTCAGACCTTCACCAGAATATGTGCGTTAGTTAGTTGTAGATTCACTGCTTTTAGCTACAGTTGCATTTTTTCTTTGTGTCAAAATATGTTTATTAATATCATTTTAACCCACCACTTCCAATAAACTTAATTAAGAAAAGCTTTAACAACAAAAAAAAAGTACAACACAACTGAATTATTTTTCAGCCTAGTAAAAGGGTGAATCCCAATCGGATCAATTGATGAAGAATGATTTGGAGATCGCGGTTCCCTTCTATAAAAACAAGGCTGTGTCTACACGTCCGACAACCGGACAAATAGTGTGGGAGATATTTATCCGGCTGGCATGTCACGCTTCATGTAACATTGTCACTTTTTACCATTTGTTCATTATATATACCAGAAATGGTTCTAGTATTTCTTTTGTAGAATTGAACATATTTCTTTTTCATGTAAATGTCAAGACTATCTTGAATTTATTTAAATGAAGTACTGTAAATTCTGATCGACTATTAGCGGTCACGTGACAAGGCTGAGAACTTATTCGTCCAGTTGCCGGAAATGTAGACACTTCATCAAAATGCACCACTTCCTGTCGTATCTGATTGGTGGTTTTTTTTTGGCCGCTTTCAGATTTTTATGACGGGTGAAAAATTATAATGTTCAGAAAATCTTAATTTTAAGGGTTTTGTCGGAAGGTCGGAATGAGGGGTAAAAAATATGTATAATTCCGACAAAATCGGAAGGCTTGGCAGGCCTGTTATTTATTCAATCTTACCTTTTCTAAGCCATGAGGCGTTACCCTGACACTTGTTCCATCTCTAATGTAAAAGCCTAGCGGTTTATCAGAACCATTTTTCATAAGCTTTACCCGCCGATGAGTTTCTGGTACAATGTCTACATCAATTATAGCAGACACACGCCGGAAATCTTCCATAAGGCTTATTTGTATACGTGGTCTAGGGGGGGTTTCTGTGCTTATTAGCTTTGAAATTGGGTTTCTTTTCTTTAATGGCTGTGAACCATAGCCATTGAGTTCTCCATAACTCTCACCTGTTATTTTTGAAGAAATTTAATGAAACAATTAGTAACACAAGGTGAACTTTAAGGAATGCTCTTCATATATTTCACCTTCTTTAATCTTTGCACTATTATTGCTTATAACATTTTAAAAATTGGAATAAAATCTTTTTAACAATCACCAACTCTAAATTTATTAGCTTCTTATATATATTTAATTTTTGCAATTATTGCAAAGAGCTGAAACATTTAAAAAGATCACTCATGTATCAGAACATTGTAATTTTACTCACCTTTGCGCTGAAGCAAAATTTTGAGACTAGGTCTAGCTGTAGTGAGAGCTCTGTTAAAGTTTTCATTGTTATTAATTGGAAGCAGGTCCATGTGAAGATCTGTGTAAGTAATTATAAATGGAATGTCTGTCAGGTGATGGAGCTCTTCTAATAAGACATAAAAGTCATCAAACTGTTTCATTCTTGTTTTGTCAATAGAAAACCGCCTGAATTCTGCATCAAACTGAAATTCAATAAATCAACAGTTAATTGCAAGTAAAAATAATTTGCTATTAATTTCTATAGCTTATTTTAATTGAAGGTGTCTATTGGTAGTTCTAGGTAGCTATTTGTAGTAAAATACCAATAGCTTCTGGAGAGCTGTTGGTAGTCCAGCCAATCAAATCAAACCGAAATCGAAGCTTTAAAAATGCACTTTCAAACATTTTTTTTAAAATATAAAAATACTACAGCTGGATAGAGCCTGAAGAATAGATTACAAAAACACCAAGATCAACTTTCTAGCTCAAGTGGTTCAAAAGTTATGAATTTTTTAGTAGGGACCTCAAAACCACTTTTTTACTATGGGATTTTCCTCCACATTTTGTGACCCTCATTTTGCATTTTTTTTTAACGCCTATAACTTTATTATAGAATGAGACAAAAATATAATATTTACAGGGAACATAGTTAAATAAGAGTACTTCTAAATAAAGCTACAAAATATACGTTAGTTTTTGTTAATGTGCCGCAAATATTTTTTAAAAAAACTTTATTATTTGCCTATTAAAAATGTATAAAAATGTTGACTCATCACTTATTTGTAATTAATTAATGAAAATTTTGTTTTACTTTTGTTTTTAATTTCCTAAAAATCATAATAATAATAATATTCTTTAGATATTAATTGCAGATTTTCTGTGGAATTGCTTAGCATTTATAAGCATAAAATTTATTTAAAATTGACAATTACACTTTTTATTTTACCATTTTCTACATATGTATCCTATATATTATATTATTCCTATGAGTATGACAAAACAATCAGCATGTCATTTATTTTAAGTTTGTAATCTTGTTTTACAAATTAACATGTATTAGTAATATTAGAATCAACTTTGACTTTAGCTGTTAATAAAATAAGTTCTAGTCATTTACTAGAGGTAAGTACAGGCTTTTATGATCGTTCTTTAGCAATAATATTTTAAGTAATTCTTGGATTGTAGTGCCAGAAAGTGTGTTTTTTCTTTGAGAAACTGAGGATTATATAATAATTCTCTTGTGGAATATTGTGATATGTGATTAAATATAGGATATTTCAATACCAAAGGTAAGTGAATATTTTAAAATGTTTTACTTAGTTTATGCCTTAAGTAAGAATCACAATATGCATTAAAATTTTATTACATATCCTAAAATATCATTAAATATAATTTATCATAATAGGCCCTACAAATTAGTTGGGTTGGTTCTAGGCCTTAACCCTGATATAGTATACTTTGTATTATACTATATGTATACAAGGCCTATAACTTATGGTCATTATATATACCGGTATATTAGATACTTGGATGAAACAAGGGAGACCACTACTTTTTGTGTATCGGAAATAGAAATCGGCGCCGAAAAATCCGAATTTTTAATTTTCCGATGTGTGTGTCTATTTATTATTAAATTAGTACTTTCGATATATATTTGAGTTCCGTTTTCGGCCTTATAATTAGGTAGACATCTTGGCCTACATTTTAATCAATTTCTTTTTCATTTACAATCAGTCAGCTTTGAGAAAATCCTTGGTAAATATAAGGTAAATTTCATCATTAAAATTAAGTCGAAGGAAAAAAATTTTCACTACCAAATTTTTTTTGCATCTGGGGAATCTATTGATCTATATGTATGCCAATTTTCACAGCGATAAGTGTCTTACGAGAGACGCCATGTTTCTACGCGTTCGCAGCAGGTCATGCAGCTCGCTCAACCTAATTTCGCCATGGGTGTGCCACGCCCCCCTTTTTAATGGCGGAAGTTGCTGATACTTATGAAATATTAATTTATTACCACTATTTACATCAAAATAATTGATAACTTGTGTTTCAGAATGCATTTTCAAGACATTTAAACTGGAATGTTTTAATTTGAGCTTTAACAACCCGGTAGAATCCATATTATAAATGATCAGAATTTACCGTGTGCAACACGTCATTGGCAACCATTCACAGCCACTTGCATAATGGCTGTAACGTAGCACTACCTCAGAGTTTCATTCATAAGAGTTTGCCATGTGCAAAAACTACTATACCATTGGTCAGGGAAAGCTTTAATTAATTATTCATGTGCCAAAGTTGAAAGTTTAAAATAAGTCGACCCTAAACAGTATTTAAATTTAAGTGATAAGGCGATGCGTTGCCTTATACAAAGAATATAGTCATTGTGCATGACACGAACAGCGGAATGAGGTCACAAGATATGGAGGTTTCGTCCATAGTAAAAAATACCAAACGAACTCACACTTTAAAAATTCATAGCTCAAAAAGTACTTAAGCTAAAAAGTTGATTCTGATTTCATTTTTTTATTTGAAACTTGCTCTGTTTTTTTTTTATAAATTATTTCAATTTTTTAAATTTTGTATACAAGTGCCTACGGTATGTATATATATATATATATATACAAATAAATATTTATCTACAAATATTTAAACTAATATAAATGTTAAAAATAAATATATTAGTTGTAACAAAAGCTATTTATCCCACTCCTTTCATAATAGTATAATTACTATTATAATACTTTTACTAAGCCTATCACTAAGTCAAAGACAAGAGCTTATCAATCCCATGTCAGTGTCAGCCAGGTCCATGGCAACCAACCCAAAAATTAAAATCACTGATATTCAATAAGCCAATAATAATTATTTATGTTATAAAACATTTTTTATTTATATAAAATGATTTATTATTAATTATATTTCCCATTTACACTCTGGATAACCAACTTGATGAATTATTAATTACCACCACGGCTGCTATCAATAATTGGAAATAAGCAGACAAGCACGGTGGCCATGATGACAAAATACATAGTACGTAGCATGACATAGCCTAAAAAAATGACATCTTGATTCTTGGGAATTCGTTATTGAAGCCCACTCATGGTCTACACTCATGAATTTTGGATATGTTGTAAATGAACCTATAAATTATATGATCAGAGTTTTTTTTTATTATTGAGCGCATTTTTAAAAAAAAGTTATTACTGAGTGAAGTGGCCAATTTTTAACTTCAATTTTCAAAGCTTTAAACTTGACCCAAAAAATAAAACAAACTCTTAATAATATAACAGGAAAGATGTCGGCTTTAAGTAATTGGCGGAAGTAAATAATTATATTATGCTGAAAATCAATTATAAAACGCAAAACAACGATATCCTCGATAAATTAAAAAGTAGAGGTCGCCATTACGACAACGAAAATACGATACCCGTTTTTCTGGTATTTTCGGTCGATACAGAGGTCCCTATTAATATAGTTAGGCCAAATTATATAATTTCCATGAAAATTATTGCAGGACATGAACTCATGCAATATGCAAATATGAAAGTATTGTACTATAAGGCATAAGGAAAAGATCAACTTAATCAAGCCTTGTACTTGTGCCAAACTATCAATTTGCTCTTTGCATGCATCCACATACCAGCTTAATTTGCATTGACAAAATTTTGTTGATGAACAACAACCGAAGGAAGTGTTCCTAGAATCCGTGTCTGATCTGAGTTATGTTTGCAGCTTGCATAAACTGCCCATCCGCCTGTTAATTAATTAGCCCTTATAATTATTTATTATTATATATTAAAAATGTCCAATGCATCAATGAAGTTTACCTGGGTAAATGAATGCCCATAGAAAGATTTCTGTCACATCTGTAGGTTTCAAAACCTTCAGATTTCATACTTAGTGAAACCAGGCTAACGTGAGAGCTATCCATGGCTTGAAGGGTGATTCCTGTGCTTGAGCAATCAAAAATTGCTTCATTAAGTAGATCTTTAATTGCTTCCAAAATCTTTTTCCACATCGATCCTTGAACTAGTCGAGCTTCAAACATTTTTAAATACTTCTATTCTCCAAATGAACCTTTATAAATAAAATAAAATTGTTGAAGCGAACTAATAAAGATTTAAATAGTGCCTTAAATGAAACTTTAACATTAAGCTTTCTTTCCAGAACTTGGAAAAGGGGCGCCAAAGATACCAAAAACGTTTTGTCTGTTGTTAATTTTTGCGGGAAATGGCATGTAACCGTGAAGTCATTGGCCAGCTTCTAACGGAAATGAACTTAAAAGGAAATATCAATGCAACTGGAACCGGTTTCATTAATAGGAGAGAAATGTGATAAGTCGATTGGCTTGTACACCAAGAAAAATCTTTTTGACAAATGAAGTCGCAGTTTATTTAAACTAAAAGGCGTGGTTTTCAAATTGCGTTCATTAGAATGTTATTTCAATACTTTTGCAGTGAAAAAATATTTATATAGTAATTTATATCGATTTCTAGTTCCTTAGCCTTAAGCAATGATGATTAATAGAAGTTGTTCAAGACTAATCAAAGTAATCTGAAAAAGAAAAATCGAAGTGGCGATTAGCATAGATAATTAGTCAATTCAATAGTCATTGAATAGATGAGAAGAGAAGTCGAGACGGGGAAAAGTTTGTTTAGTGAGTATTACTAGTATTACTATTACTATTTACTATTACGTTACGATTTTGACTTCACTGAGTATGGTCTCGTCTTAATAACTCTGTAGACTGTAACTGTAGTGTAAATTTAGTAACTTTAACTTCCTACTTTCTTTATTTTTAAGCTAAGTTTGAGACTTTTGACTTTGAGCTGTTTTTAGCTTTAAAGTTGTGGTCAGTTAGGCTTAGGCCTAGGCTTAGGCCTACTTAATTTATTAAGTTATTAAGCAATGCCAGTAGAGTCCCACAATAAGCCTTAGCCTTAGCATAGTAAGTAGTTAATAGTAGACTATTAGCCTATATATATTAACTAAATAGAAGGCCTAGGGCTAGGCCTTTATAAACAGCAACGTTACTGTTGTTACCTGTATTAGTACTATTAATACTAATTACTAATATAATACTATAATATAGGTACTTGGGTAAAATTTTAAAAATGAAGTTATAGCTTTAAGAGCCAGTTGGTTAGATGGGCCTGAAAAATGCAATTCATTGATACCAAATTTATGTTTGTAGATCAACTCTAAAGAAAGTTATGATTTTTTTCGTGAATTATTTTGGGATAACTCTGTAAATTGAGAAATATAGGAAAATATAAAAGTGACTAAAATAAAAATTGGGCAGAGATTTGGGAGAGATATTAAAAAAGACCAGTAAATTGAAGTTATTTAATGACTTAATGAAGATAACCATAACAAACCATATATATCCGTGATCGTCATAACATTATCCAAACAGACGTCATACAATAAATTCTATGGTATGTAAGATGTGCTCATTAATATTCAAAATGGCAGTAAAATTTCCATATGTCATATTTGAATATGAACACAACATGAACAATGTTCTTCGAAATAAAGGGTCATGTATATCAAATTGTTCGTATTGAAAAGGGGAAACATAATAAGTAGCATATGGAAGGGCTGAGCTCACCACGCTGTACATAAAAATATTAGCAAAAGAGACATAATCATGACATATATGATACCAACGCATCATGATGTAATGTTCTTTTGGTGATATGTACAATAAAGTTAACTTTTATGTTGATTTGACCTAGCTCAGTGGACCGCAACATGACTACCGGCGGGCAGCATGCGGCCAGTGGGCCTCATGTTGGCCACCCCTGTGCTAGAATATGTGTTTAAATAATTTTGTACAATTAGATAACCACCCACTTTGAGATTTGTTGTTATTTTTTTTATTTTATTTTTTTTTTTTGCAGCTTCTAAATGATGCCAGTCTTAAGTCTAGTTAAAAGAAACTACAGATTGGGTTTGCCCTTCTTAAAAGGTAATCGTGTACTTTTATCGGCTCTTGCTAACCAATCAAGATTCTCTAGCTGTGGACGTTTGCCCGTAATTGTTGTCAGCCATGTTTGTTACAGGCCAGGAACAGTGTACAAAGTTATTCTGCTACGAAGCTACAGTAGGCCCACGTACACTCGCTTTGGACACAAGAAGGAAAAGGAGTCGACGTTTAGAAAGATTTACTGTGTATTTTTGATGTCCATGTTCATCTTTGCTTTGTTATTTAATGGGTAAGTTAAATACATTATTAAAGCGGTAAATAATAATTAATTGAATTCTTAGACTTGACTTTCTTGAAGAAAAAAATGCTGTTGTCTGTGTACACTTAACATACAGGATTGCTAATCTTTGCAAATGTAAAGAAGCTCAAACTTTCATACTCCTATAATGATATTAAAAATTAGATGTGGTCAGATTTTGTGTATGTGGTTTGCAATCAGTTAAATTAAATTCATTTTTCTTTTCTGTTCTGTCTTATCTGTGTGGTTTGTGAAGATTTGAAGACCCAGATGCCTTGAGTGATATTAAAAATTAGATGTGGTCAGATTTTGTGTATGTGGTTTGCAATCAGTTAAATTAAATTCATTTTTCTGTTCTGTCTTATCTGTGTGGTTTGTGAAGATTTGAAGACCCAGATGCCTTGGATGATATAAAGAAACTATTCAAGGTGAAAGCTGCATCAGTGAAGGACACGGATGCCTCCAATGAAGATTCAGTTGACACGGATGGAGAAGATGAAAAGGAGAAGAAGAAAAAGAAGAAAATTGGCTTTCGCGACAGAAGGGTGAGTCAACATTTTTTGGATGGTTAAGTATTCTACAAACTAAGCAATGAACCTGATATATTTATAACAAATCATTTAATTCATTGACTAGGATACTTAAACATTTAATTCATTGACTAGGATACTTAAACATTTAATTCATTGACTGAAATACATAAACATTTAATTCATGGACCAGGATACATAAACATTTAATTCATTGACAAGGATAAATATTTAGTTCATTGACTAAAATACTTAAACATTTAATTCATTGACTAAAATACATAAACATTTAATTCATGGACCAGGATACATAATCATTTAATTCATTGACCAGGATACATAAACATTTAATTCATTGACCAGGATACATAAACATTTAATTCATTGACTGAAATACATAAACATTTAATTCATTGACCAGATATATAAACATGTAATTCATTGACTAGGATACATAAACATTTAATTCATTGACCAGGATACATAAACATTTAATTCATGGACTAGGATACATAAACATTTCATTCATTGACTAAAATACATAAACATTTAATTCATGGACCAGGATACATAAACATTTCATTCATTGACCAGGATATAAAGACATTTAAATTCATTGACCAGGATACATAAACATTTAATTCATTGACCAGGATACATAAACATTTAATTCATTGACTAGGATACATAAACATTTAATTCATTGACTAAAATACATAAACATTTAATTCATTGACCAGGATACAAAGACATTTAATTCATTGACAAGGATACTTAAACATTTAATTCATTGACTAGGAAATTTAAACATTTAATTCATTGACTAAAATACATAAACATTTAATTCATTGACCAGGATACATAAACATTTAATTCATTGACCAATATACATCAAAATTTAATTCATTGACCAGGATACATAAACATTTAATTCATTGACCAGGAAACATAAACATTAATAAAGAATTGTATCGTTTGATCTCTCCCCCTCCCCCTCTATAAAAACTGAATCAAATATTTAATCACTTTGTTTATTCAGATGTATTTATATTTGCTATGTAGGTGTAAAATATAATATTTTGAAGAAAATAGTTATTACTTTGAATCTTCTCTCCTCTTACCTCATTCTTTGTTTTGTCAACTTGATACAGATAATTGGCTATGAGGATCGTATCCGAGCCTACTCAACACCAGATAAGATTTTTCGCTATTTCGCCACATTGAAAGTGAACCAAGATGGCGATTGGGAGGTTTATATGACCCCTGAAGATTTTGTTAGGTCGATAACGCCAGGGGTCAAGCAGCCGGAGGGTACGATTTTTAATGTTAATTTATGTTATAGAAATAATTTTGTAGAGATATGTAATTCTTATAAAGATCACTATTAAGCAAACTCTGGCACGTTTATTAATGTGTGCTAATCTAAAGTGTGATTACTATCTGTATGATTTGTGTGCGAATCTCAAGTGTAATTGCAATCTGTATGGTTTGTGTGCTAATTTTACCCAAACCCCTGAATCTCAAGTGCAATTGCAGTCTGTATGGTTTGTGTGCTAATTTTAACCAAACCCCTGATTCTCAAGTGTAATTGCAATCTGTATGGTTTGTGAGTTCCATGGGTTTTGCTGACCACTTTATTTATTCCGTGGTACATCATGTCAATAAAATGGATCAAACTTGTGCTAGGTAAAATATTCGTGAAATGTGACAGCCGTCATTAATTACTGATTGATATTAAATTTGCTAGGGAACTCTCAATACGTGTGTTGAGAAATAAATTTAAATTTGTTTCAGGACTGGGACTCGACAGTTTTAAAAAGTTTGATCCAACTGTAAGTATTAATAATAATGTTTTGTAAAATCCTGTCATATTTATAAAATTCAAAATCCTTAATTTTTGTTTAAATGAAGGGAATGTTTAAAAAATATTTTTGACCGATATCATAAGGATCTTGACCATTAGATGTAGGCAGAGAGCTGATCTTGATATCAGATGTAGGCAGAGAGCTGATCTTGACCATTAGATGTAGGCAGAGAGCTGATCTTGACATCAGATTTAGGCAGAGAGCTGATCTTTCTTGAAGAATCTCATGTTAAAGCTGCATCTTAAACTTGGTGGCCATTCTAATGCTAGTAGCAGTTTTCTCTCAAATACTTTATTTCATCAGACAATGAGAATATGTATTACCCAAAGCTGACAAGACGGCATACTTCATTTCATCAGACAATAAGAATATGTATTACCCAAAGCTAACAAGACGGCATTTCCTGCAAAATAATAGTTCTATATTTATTGATAGTTTTTTTTTAAGGGTGGACAGAGATAACTTTCAGTGTATTTATAGTGCCTTTTTTTTTTTTTAAATTTCTATTATAATTTTTTTTTTTTTTTTTTACATTTTAAAGGTAATTTCCATACATATTTTTTTTAATTTCCGGCTTGTTATATCAAAAGCTTTGTGTTTTAT